ACAAGAATCCAGCAGAAATGGTTCACCTCAGAACGTTCACTATTTTGCTATCCCCGAAGGAAAATAAATGGCTCGACATTTCAATTCAAGGTGAGTTGGTGCAAAACCTTTCACTTCGTTTGAGGAGGCGAGTAGAAGGACCTCAGCGGAAGCTGTAGCGGGATTGTCTTGGAGCTGTGGTTGTCGATTTGTGCGAATAGGTCCTCGGCGCATCGCCCTGCGCCTTCGGTTAATCCCCACTGCGTCGTCGTGCGTCGTGCGCCATGTGACGGACGTCGTCAGAGCACGACGACATGTTTTACGCGAACGCGCCGGACAGAAAGACGAGCAAATAGGCCGACTGCAGTCGAGCCTTTTGCCTCTGGCCCAACTTGGTCCATTCAATGAGGTATCTCCTCGTTTGCTTGGAGATGTTATACTTTGTGAAGAAAAGTTGGGTTTCCATGACTCTCTTCTTTCATAATTGTTGAGCTCACTTCCGTCTTGAGTGAAAGTGGGCGTTGAAGACATTCGAAGGGGGCAGATGGTGCTCAGCAAAACTTGACAGCCGAAAGCAGAAGAGACTTTTGCTGTTCTAATTACTTTAAGTCACCACTGCGAACAGAAACAGGCACATACGCATACAGAGACAGACACACTCACATGCTCCGAGGTTGATATTTGACCGTAACTAACCAAATCACATTACACCTCATCAAAGAGGCCAGATGCAGAGCATGGGTACCGCTTTTTAGGGATTCGCCGGTAAGTTTTCTTGTCTCCTTTGCTTGAATTTCGTTGTGACGATGATACCCTCGTTGCTCTGATGATGTTCGTCACTTGATGGACAAAAACTTGGCGTCTTTTCAGCGGAGTCGAAGGAGATTTCTTTGGAAACAACGTCAGCCACGTCGACAGTTTGTCAAGAGGAATCCGTTGTCGCCTTCTGGTGAAGCCGACCTTCGAATGTCTTCACCGCCCCCTTTCACTCGAGACGGAAGTGAGCTCACCAATTACGAAAGAAGAGAGTCCTGGAAACACAACTTTTCTTCACAAAACATACCATCTGCAAGCAAAAGAGGAGATGCCTCATTGAGTGGACAAAGATTCGACTGCAGCCGCCATATTTTCTCGTCTTTCTGTCCGGCGGGTTCGCGTAAGACATGTCGTCCTGTTCCGACGACGTCCGTCACAAGACGCACGACGCAGGACGAC